ATACTATAGGTAATTATATCTTAAAGAAAGAGTCAGAAGTTTCTCTTATTACTATAGTTCTCTTAGCCTAACTTATAAATATAATAAAAAAACAGCTTATAAATAAGGCAACTAATATAATTAAGGATATATATATAATAATTTATAACTAAGTATAACTAAGAAGAAACTTTTATAAGCTTTTATATAGCTTAAAAAGAACTCTTAAAGAACTTATATTTATATAGTTATATTAATTAATTCTAAAGCTCTTATAAAGATGTATAATTTTATAATAAGATATAAATATTAATAATAAGGTTAACTGTTAAAACAAACTCTAAATAATATATTTAGCCTTAATTCCTTTAGAGCAGATAAGAATACTAGCATAACTAGATATAATAAGTTATAAGCTAGATATTTACTTCTAATATAATAAGGCCACAAGTTTAATAATCACACAAATTCAGACAGAAAAGATTAGCCTAAACACTTTCCTTACAGACCGCTTCGTACTAGACAAGCTAGCTCTATACATCTGTGGATAGGCATAATAAACTGCGAAACATGTCCTCTTCTTCTGTTCTGAGCTTACTAATCACTATAGCTAGCTGTTTAGAGATGCAGAGATTAATGACTATTCAAAAATAGTTGTAATAATAAGAGGTGCTAAGGCAGCAACAGAATAGCTATAACGGCTATAGCTAGCTGTTTAGAGACGCAAGGACTAACGACTATTCAAAAATAGTTGCAACAACAAGAGGCACTAAGGCAGCAGCAGGATAACTATAACGCACAGGACTTCTCCTACAATTTAACCTTAGCCTTAACTAACACTAATAGCTAGGGCCATATAGCCAACCTCCCAGAAAGGATAGGAAGGTGGGATGTCTCTTTGTAACCTTATGTAACAGGACATGACTACCTAGTATAATACGAATAACAGAAACAGATAACTTATAGGTTTTCTTTCCCGGAGGGTTTCTCTTATAGATTATTATTAGTACCTCTCCTCATGAGCTTAATAGCTTAATAAGTATAAGAATAAAAAAAAAAAAATTAAAAAAAAAAATAACTTCTTTATTAGAGTTATTTTCCTAGTGATTATTAGAGTCTATAATAATAAACTTTTTAAATAAGCGGCTATATTTAGCCTTTATAAAAGCCTTTTTCTTAATCTTAGCATTTATAATCTGCTGTAGGCTGTTACTTCTTAGACATCCTATTAATAAAGCAGAGGATATTACTATACTACTATTATAGCTGAAATCTATTAAGTTGCCAGCAGAGTATATTTGCTTTATAGCCTTTGTTAAAGCGCCCTAGAGCTCTAATAAGGGTAAAGCACATTAATAAGGTTAAGCTCTTAATTGTTTATTCTTAACTAGGCGTAGTTTCTTAGCTTATCTTACCTTGTAAGAAGGCGATCACGCTTGGTAGCCTAACTATACACAGACTATGTAATAGTAGTAATCTAGAGCCGCTTTATTAAGATAATCCTTAGTATTATAAGAGGTTATGTAGTATCTATAGTGTGTAAGTTGTCTATACTATTTGCTTTAGTGCCTATATCCTTAATAGTTGTAGTATTAGATTAGGCGGGTATGTATAAATTATTTATAGTGCTTAAACTTATAGTTAACTATAAACCCCTTAGCTAGTATTTAGTTTACTATTTTAGTGGTTTCTATTTTAATTAGGAGCGAAGAGAATGTCTTCTTATCTTTAATCGCCTTAGCTAACTAGCTTATCTTAATAATCTTGATGTCCTTATATAGACTGCTATTAAGCCTCTATAGCCTCTTAATCTCCTCTCGCTGTTTATTAGTGTTTACCCTCTTTACCCGGATGCTATATATTATAACTGTAAAGGTGTGCTATTGAAGCGCTGCTGAAGTCCCTATTATCTTAATCTATTCTGTATCTTTTAGGAGGGCAGCTTTTGCCTCCTTAGTTAAGGCTGTAACCTTAATGTCCTCGCTTCCTATTCTGTTCACCCTTATAAGTCCGGGGGCGGCCTTCTTGATCTTTTCTACTAGTTCCTTCGCTTCCTCCTCGCACACCTTGCGCCTTTCCGTCTCATCAGATATTCTGATTGTGATTTCCTTCTCCCCTTTCCTTGGGGCGTTGCCTGTCTGTGCCGGGCGATGGGTGACGGTAGGTTTCGGGAAGCCATGTGTCCCGTCTTCGACTGCGTTCCGTTTCGCTGCCGCAGCGTATGACCCGTTTGGGGGGCGTGCTTCTCAGCGAGTGTTCGCCTGGGGTAGATTCTGCTTCTCGATCTTTGTTAGCCTGTCCTCTATGCTTTGGAGGATCACCTCAGTGGATCTCGTTGATCCCTCTTCATCCTGGGCGGCCCTGGCGTCCTGCCCCTTTCCTTCCTCCAGCAGCTCCCTCGCTTCGTAGAGCAGGTGCAACACCCGCGCTTCGCCCTCGCCATCGTTCTCCTTCTCTGCTAGGTAGTCTGAGATGTTACTGATCGCTTTGTCCCACCGAGTGTCGGTCATGATCGCTGGCGGAGAAGGTATTAAATACAAGGAACTTAATATTTATTCAGCATGCCATCATTTACATAACTCCACTCGCATTCTTACTATATCACCTCCCACCCCTAATCTGAAGGGGCGCCCAACCCATTCCTCCAGCTCAAAAATAGCACTTCCTCCTTCCCTCCTGTACACAATCACTCCCACGACGGGTGACCCTCCCAGGCCTGGCCCCGCCAAAGCAGTACTTGACGTGCTCAAGCGTTGGCATGGCCTCCTCCAATCTTGAACCGTGAGGAAAGATGGAGAAGTGATCTTCCGTGTGTTCCACTGTCGGGACATCCCATTCGTCACCCGCACGACCTGCTCGAGGAATCCGAAACCCCGCCGCCGGCAACTCGATATGCTCTACCGTCGGGACATCTTTCCCATCCTGCACCCGAATATGCGCCATTTCCGATCCAGGAGCCACGTAAGTCGGAGTCGGCACCTCCTCCCACCGCTCCACGACCCCAGGTAGGCATTCGGCATTGAGATCGGTATGGTGGCGGTGGGGAATAACCAGTTCTTCACCTGGCAGGAAAGCTGCTGCGTTTTAAGGCCAGACCGGAGCTGGTTGGTGGATCCATGATTCTCGTGACGAGGACGTCCTCCACTGTCCTTTCTCTTCTTCTCCTGTTGTGAAGGGAGGAGAGGGAGGGACGGGAGGACGAATGGGCTACACGAAGGCATGGGCGGGGGAGGGGGAAGGAGAAGGAGAAGGAGAAGAACGCAGAGTTAGCTCTCCTCTGTCGTCTTTCTCGTTCTACTTCTAGCGACTCCTGTCGGGTCTAGGAGCTGTGTCAGGCAGGGATCTCGAGCTTGTGAACCATGTTTCTGCCGCCGGCGGCCTATGTTGCTGAAGATGAGGGTGGCGAGGAAGAAGGAGGACGGTTTAGGTCCTTTGGTAACTGGCTTGGGTTGCTGAACCGACGGAAAGTTGCTCTGTCAATGTATCCAGAGATGAGGAAGCCGGAATGAGCCAAATGGGAGGGGAAAGAGGTCGGTGGAGAGTGAGGAAGGGTGTCCATTTTGAGATGTTCAGAACGTCGAGTTTGAGAAGAGGATCCAGAGGGATTGAGCATTTTGAATTGCTAAATGGATGCTTCGAGGCCTTCTACATAACAAGATTGATGGAATATGGAACGCTTTCCTTGATATCTGGGATGACGGTGTATTGACGGATTCCCACCAGACTTACCCTTGACATATATAGCCCCTCCGAGGACCTCGCACTATTGGTGAGTACCTAGCTCCTTCCTTGGATTGTGGTTCTAGGTGAAGAAGATTCCACCCGTCATGACAGCGATCGCCTAGATTGAAAAGGTCCCGGTAAGCATTAATGCTGAGTTTTGATAGCCACCCGGACCTTCAACCGGTTCCATCATGCAGAGAATAGCTTCACACAACGCACAATGTGGTTTGAAGATTCGAAAAAGCAAGCTAGAAGATGTCTACACGTACGTTGGGAGGGCCAGAATGCAGGCACGTTGCCATGAGAGATCTTTGCTTGCAGCTAGCTGATGCCTGTCACTGCCTATCCCGAGCTACTACCCTGGCCATTCTTCGGTGTCACTATATCGTCTCGCATGCAATATTCTAACCATCTGCTCTGCTTTCAATGACCACCCCTCACATCATTCTTCTTCCATACATCTCATGCCTATGCTTCCACTCCTCTTCCGGCTTGACCTTGATACCCTCTTTGACCTGCGGCCTGAATCGTGGATCTCTAGCAACTCGGACTGGCGCACCATAGAAGCCACCCGCTGCACCATCAAAATAGCTATCACCACCACCCACTCCTCCAACTGCTAGCCCGCCCCGCTCTGTGCACCAATCCGGCACAGCCTTGACCTTCTGAAAGTTTCTTCTCTGATCCAACGATTTCCGATCACCCACAAGATATGTTTGTAAGTTGCAAGCTACATTTCCAAGTATCAGTGTTGCAGCAAGCCCATCATCCTTTCCATCTTGAAATTGTTCCGGTAACTCTCCACCATTGCGAGCTTTGGTGTTGGAGATGACCTTGGAAGCATGAATTTGAGCACTGAGATCGACTTGCCTTCTCAAAAGTCTTTCGCCACGAGCGTCCGTATGGAACCACTTTTGCGTTTCAGCAATGTCTTCCTTGTCTCGTGTAATTGCTTCCTGTGGAACCTCGTTGGTGACGGATTTCGCCGCAAGTGCCATGCGTCGGCGAACTCGATCACGCTCAGCAGATGTAATGGGAGCAAGGGTCATCCATTCAATAGATCCGACCTTTGGGGCAGAGTCAGATGGTTCTAGAGATATCGCTTGGCCGAGGTTGCTAGGAACAGGAAGACCCGGAGGTGGCTTGATGTTGCTGAGATCTTTCTCGGTAAAGGTAGATGGTTCAGGAGGAGGCATTACTTCCCATTCATTGTTTTGAATGCTCTCCTTTGGCCGAACATCCCATGGAACAAGCGGTGGACGATTTCCTGATGCTCTTCTCACCGTCGATGTGGACACCGGCTCTTTCTGAGAGTTAGGATTGTGCAAAACCGTCTTTCCATCTTTCGCCTTCTCTTTCAGATTGTTCACGCATTCTTTCATCGCCCGTTCAGTATCGTACGGCTCTTTGGACTCATAAGCGCGTTGCTGGTCAGTGAGTTCACTTTGTGGGTTTGATTGCGGAGGAAAGTACGAATCACGCGTATGCTGATCTTGGTAGGGCATCTGGTATCCTGAGTGATAGGGATCGTTCCAGAGGTACTGTTGACCAAAGTCTTGGTTGAACAGGTCTTGAGGAAACTCCTGACTATACGGGAATGGAACGTTCTCAAGCATCGAAAACTTCTGTTCTTGCTTCGTCGGGCTCATGTCGTCTGGGACCATCATGTTTCCATACATTGGCATACCGCCTAAAAACATCGGCTGATGTAAGTACATATTCGGGGGAATGACCGGGTAAGGGAACGGACCATGTGGGGATTCTTTAGGTTGAGGTTGGGCAACAACGGTAGAAAGCGACCGTGCAACCATGGCACGTGGAGCAGTTGGTATTTTCTTGTCAGAAGCTTCCTTGGAAGTGATGCGTTCCGGTGTATTGTCTTCGCTGATGTCGTCAAGTACCAAGGGTTTCCAAGTTTTGTTCCCTCTGTTTCGACTCGCTGGTGGAGGTTTCGTGAAAGCGCTCAAGGAGACTGCTGGGTTTGGAGGAAGTTGTCGATCTTCAATGTCTCGACTCACTTGTCGCTGCTTTGCAGCTGATGCGGCGGCCAACTCTGCGGCTCGTGCTTGTGCTCCCAGCATTGGAGTGTCGGCTCGCAGAGTCAAGAGTGGAATGAGAGTTGGCTGTCAAGATCAGCTTTTGTAGTCCAAGGTGCGGGTGACGGACTGATGTGAGCGATGCGGCCTCTAGATCACTTTCTGAGTCTGTTTCATCTGATGGGAAACCTACTGGAGCGTGGCCGGGTTGGAGGTTGTCGACTGTTGCCGGGTGTTTTCTTCGAGTACCTTTGCCGCCTGCAGAACACAATTAATTTGCGGTGGTTGAAGCAATGCAAGAGCCACACACGGCGCCGATGACGCTTACCTGGTTCGATATTTTCCATTTCTTTGTAGCGACACAGATCAGTGACGTTAGAGAAGCGAAATATTTGCAAACAAGAATTGGAAGAGAGACAGCATGGTTGAAGGTGGAATTTTTCTGCAGATTGTTATCAATATCTTGGGAAGGAGCAACCGGACATCGTGTGTAGACATAAAAGAACAGTCCATTCTATCCTCAAATTCTCTTCACAGCATTTTGCATCTTGCTCTTGCATGAACAAGCCAGCAGACAGCCAGCAGACAGCCATCGGTACGTCGCTATGCTGTCCATGATTTCTACCTGCTCACAGCAGTCCGCCCTCCGCCCTCACACGTAAACCATGAATCACATGCCCTGAGCCCCATATACTCATCGATTACTGCTGTCTGGCTTTGCGCCCTTCCTCGCTGATGCGGTGTTTGAGCAAGAAGCTGTCAATTGCCAAAGGATGGTGTTGGTGATTGTCTTGGCAGCAAATTGGGATTCAACGCCAAGACTCGAGATCTCGTGCTACATCTCTCTCTGAGCATGTAATTCATACCATTCCATGATTACTCATAACTGGGTAAATGTTACCGGGAAGTTATGAGTGGGAAATAAAGCCGGGAATATTAACTGGTTATTCATTGCTCGGTGTCTCACCGCCCTTAAAGTATTGTGTCTGGTTATTTCAAGAACCGGGAATTCACTACATGTCTGGAATGCGACAGGACTTCAGTTGTCGAGTACAACTACGCTACTGCTAGGGCAAGTAGATGAAATCATTATGTTGTAATATTTTGATTCAACAACGATGACTATGTAATACTCCATGACCCTTAGCAAGCCCCCTTCCTCCAGGTCCGTACGAAATCCTGTCTTATTACCTGCGGAACCCGCTCCAGAGCCAGCCATGGACTCCCCTCCTCCAGGTCCACAGCCAGCCCTACCTCATTGTCTGCGGAACCCGCTCCGGAGCCAGCTTCTGCTTCACAGCCAAACCAGGCCAAGAACACAAAATCTAAAGTCTGTTACGCTTCGTGAGCTGGTCAGAAGGCCCGTCGGCACTGCGTTTGCCGAACCTAACTTCTTCCGCATCTTTGCGACGACGAGCATCTTCAATACTAATATGCAGATTATGTTCGAAGTCTGCGTTGACTCGCTGTTGAGAGTCGTCTGGGAAGTCGTCTCGCCCATAATGGAAGATCTGGCCCTGTCGTTCGTAATGAAGCAGCAAATGATGAATCGGAAAATCTCTTCGAATCAAGTTGCCTGCGCGCTTCTTGTCGGTGGCCATCTTAAGCCCAATGAAATTGCCGACTACAATGAACCCATATCTGGCCCGACTAATGGCGACACAGAGGCGATGGCTGTCCAGAAGATGACGAGACATGCGCTGCTCTATCTCATCATTGCCATGATGAACAAGACTTAGCAGCACAATTTGGTTCTCCTTGCCCTGGAACCAGTCCACGGTGGAAATGTCGATGACTTCCACAGAACCAGCCAGAGGGCCAACAGCGGCTATAAGCAACTTCCGATTAAGTATTGCCTGCGACTTGTACATGGAAATGATAGCCATTGTGCGTTTCTTGATGACGCGTCTGTCGGCCGAGAAGAGTGCCTTGGTGATGGCGACAACACATTTAGCCTCTGGAACATTAATGCGAGAATCGCCGTCTGCATCCTTCCATGATTTGGAACTCGGCACGTCTACGAAGAGCACCTCATCTGTTTGTTCAGGTGTCTTGCTTCCTTTGAAGAAGAACTCCGAGTTGAAACGACGCATTAGCCGTCCGAAAGCCTCGGGGATTTGCAGGCCAACCGCATTTTGAAGCTGACTATCGTAGAACAGCCAGCTGACTGGGTAAGCTATCGCTGGCGTCATCCAATGTTGCGTGACAAGATGCGTGGAGTCGATGTACGTGAGCGCTCTGGATATGAATGTCGACTTCTGAGCTGCACTAAACTCATTACGAGTAGTGGACGTGACCGTAGGCTGGAGCTGCGTAGGATCCCCAAGCAGGATGATCTGCCGCAAAGACTTGAAAGCAGTTGCTGCGATCATCAAATTCCATGTCCGTGACTTGGCCGCTTTCATCGACAAATAGATAGTTAGGATTGTACCACTTTGTCAACTTTTTGGAAGTAGCGTTGACGCAGGTCGTTATGACAACACTGGCTTTTGTCAACACGAATTGCGTAAGGTATTCGTAAGCTTTGCGGAATAACTGCTCGCTATCATCGCTCAGCACGCGTCCCTGGTATTGCGCCACTGTATCTCGGTAGATATCAGCATGACCTAGGGCTGCTTGTTCATGAGGCTCTCGCCTATGCGCCGGGATAAGCGAGTTTGTCTCAATGACATCTGCGACTCTTGCCAAATAGCCTCAGCAAGCGAAAGCCCATAGGTGGCAATGTGCCGCCCATGCGCTCTCTTTGCCGCTTTGCTAAGGCTTCGCATCTTTTCTGTAGTGAAGCCGCTTAGCGTGGCAATCTGAAAAGTTGCTTTCAAATTCTGGAGACGCTCTGATTCTTGGCCGCGACGTTCGGCTAAAGGATGTGAGTCGTCCGTGCCGTGCTCTTGTGCATACTGGTACTCAGCACCCTCAACATGCATTCTGATCACAAGAGCCTTTTTCATACGTGAGTCGTTAAGCCGACAGTGGGTGATCTTTGAAGCGATCGCATCGGTAGCTTCGTTGGAGCTGGCAACAACCAGAATTCTGCCTTCACCATTGCCTGCTGCCAAGGCAGCCCAGACAGCGCTACCTCCAGTGAGAGATTTGCCAGTACCTGGTGGTCCACGGATGATCTTAGCAAACTGAGTATTGGCTAATGTGCTGATGGCAATCAGCTGCTCTGTGTTCAAGGCCCATTTAGTAGGACCATTCTCGTGGCAGTGGTCTGAGACCCAGTCAGCCCACGTCTTGTAAGCCTTTTCCTCCTCGGGCGTCCTAACGAACTCATCATTCTTGACGGGGAAGAGGATCTTGTTCATCTTGCGAGGCACTTTGACTGCCTCGTCATAACGGCCCATGAGCATCAATGCAAGTTGCCGGAATTCTGGCTTGAAGATTTGTCTGAAAGCCGTTTTTAACCTCGGACTGAGACGATCTTGCATTTCGTACTCTAGGTGAATCGGCAAGCCACCTGCTAACTTTGCTTCTTGGAGGGTAGCATAAGCTTTCTGGATAACACTGTCTTTCTTCGCGTGCGCAAACATGACAAAGTGACAGCCTTCGAGCTCAGTCTCGGGTGGTTGGATGACCGGACCTCTCCAGCGCTTCTTTCGCTCCTCAAACTGTGCTTTGGCATTATTCTCCCAGTTTATACTGAGGATGATCGCTGGCTCCGGCGTAAGCTCGGTAAGATCACGCCCCTGGTAGTTGAGAGTCACAAAAACAGTGTAAATCTCGGCGCCATCTCGCGAGTCTCGGCCCTCCAACTGGTGGGGAGAAGTGGCGACAATATACGCGCGGTGCTGTTCGATGCTCACTGCATTGCGATTGGCTACCTCAAACTGCACCTCACGAAGGTCTGCACACGCCTTGGCGATCATGTACGTCTGTAGTCCTTGATACGTGTTCTCCACCGGTTTCACTCTGTAGGTTTCTACAGATTTGGGGTCCTCGGTTTTTCTAGGGATGACATTCATGCCATTTGCAACCTTTTTGATGTGAGGCATGTCCCAGGTAAAACGGCCATTTGCGTCCAAGTATGGGTAGTGATTGATGTGACCGTTGTGGACACTGTGTTGGAAGCATCGAAGAACGTCGTGAGCTCGATATAATTCTTCTTCTTTGGAGCTACCAAGAGAGAATGAAAGCGATATTCTGCCGCCAAGGGTGCCGAGTTGTTCAATGGCTTCGATATTACCCTTGACTTCGGGATGATAGAGTTCTGGATGTGCTTTGATCTTTCTGACTGTATCGGTGTCGAAGCCCTCAAGCACAACACCACCACCAATGGTCCAGATGCAGCCGTGCAAACGCTTTAAAACCTCATCACGAGAGGAGTTCCCACGTTTCAAGATAGCAAAGCCCTCATCTGTAAGTTGCTTGGGGTGTCTAGGGGCATAACCTGAATCGAAGTGAAATTGGTCATCACCGAAAGCCCGGAAGAGTCCATTAGCCATCTGAATAGGACCGCAGGGAAGTTCTGCTTTAGGTGAACATTCTCCGTTTCCAACGTGCTCACCATGTTGCTAGGATCGCGACTCAGCTGCATTTGAAATCGAATCACAGGGCATCCAAACTGGCCGCCATCAATCATGAGCGAAGTGTGGCAATTCTTGCTGCCGCGAGGCCCCTTGTTCACCAAGAGGTAGCTGTGCTCAGCGCCACGACGCACGGATCTGTTGGGTTTCTTCAGGAGCACCCAGAAAGTGGTGGTCTTGATTGGATTCGGGATCTCCGCGAATGGCATGAGGGGTTGCCGACGGTTATCATTAGCGCTATTTGTGACTTTGTATGACTGTGGCAAGAAAGCATCTGGGTCCAAAGCCTTCCAAGGGTTTGCCATTTGCACGTCGAGCTTCTGTCTCAAGTCGTCGTCGTCATCTACATTGGCCCATTGGTACGGCGAAACCAGCTTCTGGTACTTCAACGACTCTTCTGGAACCCGTCAGATGGGCATGAATGTGTGGATGTGGAATGTCTTCTGGCGTAGGAAGACGGTCTTCTTCACGCCGACGATATTTCTGGAGACGCTGAGCCTTATCGTGGGTGTCGATAAACTTAATCTCTTGAGCGAGGTCACCGATTGGCAGGGACTCTTCCCCTGTGGAATCTGTGATCATTTTGTCGTCCATGTTGGCGTCGGCCTCAGTCGTACCAAAGTTTGATGCGGCGCCTTGTTCAGCACGTTTGACTGACGGGGACTGAGAATGTGTAATGAACAGCGAAGCAGCCGATGACACACCTTCGTCACCTGAAATGTCGTTGGCCGTTTCACGAGCGGCTGACGCGCTACGCTCTCAAGGCATCAGCCAGTTTTTCGACCTCCCTTAAATAATCGTATGCGGAGACCAGTCCTCTGGCAAGCGCTCCGTCCTAGAAGCCATATCCGGGATGGCCTTTCCCACCCAAGACGCCCTCTGCACTCGATTTGCGACCGAGCTGACCCTCCGTCGCACCGTTGACGAGCACGATGAAGGCTTCAAGGTCTCGATTGTTGCTGGATTAGAGCGCTCCGACCAGGAGCGCGAGACGCTCGAAAAGTTCAACCCTGACTTGCGGCAACTGAAGCTAGGCACAGTCATTGAACACGCCATGGACGCTATAGGGTTGACTGGGACGAACAAGGTGTTTTGCAACGACATCCTACGCGTGGAGGCTTGTCTCCTCAACAACCACATCTCACTCTCGTGGATATGGCCAGGTCTATTCCTAGCAGGCAATAAGGATCAATCTGTTGAAGACGTTAAGATCGTCGAGATCCTTGTCTTGTCCTGTATGGAGCAGCCCAGGAGCATTATTCTGGCTGTGGTCGCTGCGAAAAGCGAATTCGCGCTGCAGCAGGTCACTCAACGGGCGAGGGAGATGGACCCTGAGGGTCACCCCACGCTTGGTCTCATTACTAAGCCTGACACATTAGACGAGGGCTCAGAGATTGAACGAGCATACCATGAGCTCGCACAGAACAGGGACGTTGAGTTCCGTCTCGGCTAGCATCTCATAAGGAATCGAGACTTCAACACGCGGCACACCACGAATGCTGAGCGCGATATGGCCGAGAGGGCCTTTTTCTTACAGGGAGTGCGGGCATCTCTCAGAACGAGCCAACTCGGTGTCGACGCATTGCGGGCTAGACTGAGCAGGGTGCTGCAAGACCAGATTATGACCCATCTGCCTCAGAGTACTCGATGATATCCAGTCAGGATTGTTGAAATGCAACATAGTCCTGGACAAACTCGGTGAAACACAAGAGAGCACGAGTGACCAGAGACGATATCTCTTGTAATTGAGTCAGGCATATACTTCATTGATTAAGGCGTCCATGGATGGAGAGTATTCCGATTGAATTTTCTTCGCTGGCTACAAGAAGAGACTACGCAGACGGATGGGAAGAGAGGCGACAACATCAGCCGTAACGCCCCGCCTTGAGCGAGACGCTTCTGGGAGTGCTACTTGCGTTTCGGAAACCTAGACGATGATACTGTACCGATGCTTTAGAAGCTGGATGGATTCGTTAATAGAGCAGGAGTCCTCACTAAGGTAACTTTTTTTAATCTGTTAAAACTCGATTTGATTTGGCTAAATTTGACTAACTGGAAGCGCTGGCTAAACGTCGTTAGCCTAATGACTCGCATTAAGCACCTGGTCTTCGGAGGATCTATTTGAATCTTAACACCCGATGTCGGCCCCCCTTACATAATGTCTCGGCCGTTTCGACTGGCAACTGGTGTTTAAACTTGAAAAAGACGGCAACTCTATGACACTATGCGCTTCCAAGCTATCTTTCTTCTGCCTCTGCTTGGGCTATCCTCTGCGCGGCTTGAACCTAATTATACTTCAAGCTCGTGCGTCTCCATCTTCAATCCTTCCGACTTTTTCGACACAACAGGGCCATGGAGCTTGATGTCTCAGGCTGGAGATACCCTGTATATTGCCGGTCCGTCGCTATAGCCCCGAGAGCATGCTCGGGACCGCCTGTACTGATTACTTTACTTGTTCCCTGTGATATAGGTATGCGTGGCATCTATCCATCAAATAGTACTCTCGCGCCGGTCGGTCTTCCACGTATCCGTCAGGCATTTCAAAATATGGCTACACTCGCCGAGATGGCGGGGGCGGACCTTAATGCTTGTGTCCGGCTCATCGTCTACACGACCGATATGTACAGGTACCGGCCAATGTGCAACGATGTGCAGATTGAGCTCTGGGGCACTGATACTAACAAATACCCTCCCCGAACGATCATTGAGGTTGATCGGTTAAATGAAGATGATATCCTCGAGGTCGAGGGGACTTTTTACGTGCCTCGGGCAGGACTATGTGGATAAAGGGTCAATTGAAACATGCCTGGCCGATACACGAGTTACAATGCAATATCCTAGAAAATCGCCCCGTCAATCGAGAATTATAGCAGCTTTGCATCCAGGCCTGTAGAGGAGACGGGAAGGTGTGAGCGAGTGACGACCGGAGGTTTATTGTCCAAGGAGAGGAGGGACGCATCCACGGCAGCAGCAAGGCAACTTGCAAACAGCCAAGACATAACCGTGCACTTTTTGCACTAAGCTTTGTGCAGCTTAGTGCACCCCACCGCAACGATAGATCCCAGCGCAACGATAGATTTTTTCAATTATTCGTACGGCCACACAAAACGCGCTCCCATTCAACGAAAAATGGCCGAATCCTATCAAGAGATTGAGGATAGAATTGATGATGCTATTAACGCGTTAGACGAAGCCGAATACCCTAATATCGCGAAAACTGCGTGCGAATTCGCATCCCTGAGCAGCGACTTCGAAGAAGATTCAAGGGCGTTCAAAATAAGATACAATGTAGGGGGAAGAATAAGAGACTTAATAAGGACCAAGAGCTTGCCCTTTGTCACTATCTTGATCGATTAGACGAATATCAGGAGTGAGTGCGGCCCTCAAATGCTTTAAAGCACTACGAATTCTATCCTTGAACGTGCCCACAGCAATTCTATTACCCCTTCTCCTAGGGTCAGCAAGAATTGGTCTCTACGCTTTCTAGAACGTCATCCTAAGTACATTATAAAGAAGAGGAAGCCTCTCTCTATTTTATAAAAGCTTACACATAATTAAAAGGAGATACAAGCTTATTTTGAGCAATTTTGTGAGACTAAGACAAAAAATAGTATTCTTGAAGAGGATATCTATAATATAGATGAAACAGGCTTTTAAATAAGCGTTAGTTAAGTATATAAAGTTATTATATAAAAGAAAAACGCTTAATTACTCTTCTTTATTAATAATCTAGATAATTATAAATCTCTTACTTTTATTAAATATATTAACACTAATAAATTTTTTATATTACTAATTCTTATAATTGTTGAACGGGTATACAGATTAGGAACAGCTATTGACACTATTAACAGTCACCTCTTGTATGCAGAGTGAGATCACAGTACATCTACACACCAAGTGCAGATCCTGCTAGCACATAGATAAGTCGTATATATATAGCCAGGTTGCTATTTTTTTTAAGGAGGCGATTTTGATATTAAGAGAAACGCGTTATAAGGGATTAGTGCCTAGATTCCTTACCTTAAGATAAGATAGACTACCTATATAGCTTTCTATCTATTTTTTTAATAAGTAAAAAGAGATAATAAAGGGCTTAGCCTATCTGTCTCTGCTGCCTTAACCTTATTAATAGATATAGCTTATTATAGTTTTAATTATGCTATAAAGGTTTATTACTAGTATATAGTAAGTTAAGTTAGCTATAGACATTTTTATATAAAGGTATATTAGGGGAGTAAATATTTTAATCTTAAGCGCTTATATAATAGTAGCTTTATAGACTCTTATAATAGCTTAAAGATAGCGTCTTTAAATAGCTTATAATTTATTTTTAATGCCCTTTCTATGCCTTATTATACCCTCTAGAGCGTACTAGGCACTATAGCTATAAAGTAGCGCTAGTCAAGTAGCTAACACGTATACCTAGAGCCTTAAGAAGACAAAAGAGCCCTAGGTAAAGCTAGACAGTATTTTTAAGGCGCTTAGGTAATAAACTACCCGCGCTTTAACTATATAAAGGTAAGGTTTCTATTATAACACTAGGTTAAGCTAGATTCTAAGTACCCTAATGTCTAACTTAGGGTTAAGGCTTACATTTATA